TAATACAGTACCAGGCCTAGACACAGACGTTGATATATATACCATGAAACATACGATTGTTTGCTTACAAAACCATACCTGAATTCTTGAAGAACAATTCTAGATACATCTTTGACTACATCCTTTTTTTCTGTTGTTAGGTTTAAATTTGTCCCAAAGCGATGTTTTTTTTTTCTGTGCATTTGAGAGCCGGGTTTGCGAGTAGTTTTGTTTTGGCATCAAGCTGGATTCCTGTGTTSTGTACACGGACGTAAGTACGTACGGATGGAAGTGAGGTAGTAGYCAAGCCATCAAAATTCAACTCGATGGGTTACCAATTTTTCTCAAGTATGGTGCTCCACTCGCGCAGGCYTTCGGCCCGCGCAGGAGCTYCGCTATCAATGATCTATGAGGAAAAACGATTAGCCAGTCAGATTACGATTCATGTTCCCAAAAAAAGAATCAACCCCATGCGTCTTTTCGCACCAAATCTTTAATTTCTTGATAGAATTGAACCTCAACTCCTCATCTTCCGTTGCTCTTGGCAATCTCCAGGGTGTTTTACTTGAAAMATTATAGGGAAAGCCTCAAATCACTTTTTAAATGTGTCTATTTTCAGTTTATGTAAATAGTTTTTGGGGCGGAGAAAGCCCCACATATTAAGCTCTTTTTTAAGATGGCTGCTGTGAAACTGAAGTGCATTGGGCGTGTGGTGGTTAATGGGATTGATTCTATTTTCGATCACTGAAACATGCTGATATCTTATATCAGCTGGARGTTAATGGACCTTTATCACACGRCAGCCATGTTTATCCTCGTGAGAATACAAACCTTTGTTTCACCCGCTTAAACATTCTCAAACTCTTGTATGCGAGGCTACGCGTGGTAGAACCTATTGTTCCAATCAACATGKCTGCCGCRTGAAAAAGGYCCATACTTTCTTATTTCATTTACTACAATAAGCTCAACTTTTGAGGRTGGATAGTGCTATCCGATGGATAAATCTTATCCAGTGGATAACTTGATGGTGTTATCCAATAAATTTATTTCCTTTAAAATAAGATTTATAAGTCGAATAGCGCTTTCCACACTCCGTACAACTGGGTCGCCCTGCTTTTGAAGATAATTCCAGGTAGCATAAGAAAACAATCGAAAGTWAAAAATGAATTTATTGTGCCGTCATTTCAAAATAAAGTCTCAACCAAAAACGTTCTTATTCAGCATCTTTAGYAAAACCTCTCGTATCATCTGCTCGTTTGAAGAGCCGATTAAACCAAGGAAGCTTGCGTTGTTTCCAGAGCACCACAGCTAATACAGCAATACTAATCGATATTAAAGGGATTATCACTATAGCAACGATGATTGGGGTGCTAAGTCCATTGCTTGGAGGYTTTGGGGATACTTTAGGGCGACGGTCTGTTGAAAAATAATAATGAATGTTGCTATATAAATCTTAATGAAAGAATAGGTCGAAATTGATACCACTTTGAAAGATATCCCGGCTTTGCAATAAATTTATACCATCTAACCAATTAAACTCTAGTTTACGAACGCAATTCGGATAAATAGCCGATTAAGTGATGTTAGCTGAAATTATAATCATGAGCATATTTCATGCCCTATGAATATGAAGAACCCACCTGTCCACCTCTCGACCAATCAAATACCACGTTATATCTCCATACTGAATTACCTTTATATAGATTAAGCCATCCCATTGGATCAGGCCATTTCGTGTACCTACAGAATCCATGCGAAGATTCCCCTAGAGCTTTAGTCTCACAGAATTGGAAATACGTTTCAAATGACTTAATCCCTTTGGTATTCGGGCATTTTCGAGTTATTTTGTCGCAGATTGGCTTACAAACCGTATAAAACGATAATCCTTCATCCGGGAAACACGGCGGGAAAAAGTCCGCGCAAAGCATTTTTTTRATGTCCGATGCACACATGGAGTTGTTTGCCAATATTTCATTCCAATAGCTGATCTCTGAACCCTTCTCACTAATAGCGTCCTTTGTGGAGTCRTTGGTGAAGTTTTTCCTGTAAAAGTCGACGTAGGTTGCGATCTGGGTCGATTCTTTCATGATTGTATGCTCGTACCCAATCCCCTGGCACCACGGGAAAATCAAACGGTTACATTTATCTTCGAGCAATCCTAGTAAAAAGAAATAATAGACATTAAAAAACCTCTAACCTCTTAGCGCCAAAATTATGAAGCTCTCTTCTATCTGACATAAGGTAGTCACATCAAAATTTAAACAAAGTGGATTATCATTAAAATTATTTTTTCCGTCGTTTTGATTTGCCCAAGCAGCTGCAAATAACTACCTACAAATACATGTAATATTCTATTCTCATGCGCATTATGATGCAAAGCTTTATTGCGCATGCTGCAAATAATCGCCACTCAATCTCGTACCCAGTGCCTGCGTTTCTTCTGGCCTGCGACTAAGAAAGAGAGCTCTGGCATAATCCATTTTTCACGCATGCGCAGTTTTCCGGAATGAAATATAATCAATGAAAATCTTGCTTTTAAACAGAGTTCTGTATTTACTTCCGATCAAAATAAAAATTTGAAATCAGGAACATATTTTTTTGGCAAGTCTTTTAACGTTTGCACTCTCATCCTGGTCTCAAAAAGTGGATTATGCCGGAGCCCTCGTTCTTCGCCGCAGGCCAGAAGAAACACAGGCTCTAAGTACGAGATTGATCGCCACTAACAAATAATATATTTTACTCAACCTCGTACAATAATTACTAATCTGTTATTTTTGACTTCATTGGTTGACCTTTTTTAAAAATATTCAAACGTCAAATTAATCTACTCAAGTATACAAATAATTGAGTCTTCAACTAAAAAAGTTTTCTCTCTAACTATAACTGTACAAAAATAACAGCAGTAAAAAGTAAAATAATGAAATAGTAAAAAGTAAACTTAGAATAGTCATTTGGAAARGTTAATGTTAATGGTGCAGTCATTAAACTGGGCATAAAAGCTAACTTGAAGTGAACTTTTTCAGACTAACACTTACTTCCGTGCCATGGTTGAGAACTGTTTTACCATCAACTATAACTCTCAAACGATTTTTCTTTGATTTAAATTAGATTTTCTTCCCATAGCTCTGAAGACTGGGAATTTTTTATTTGCTCTTCTAGACGGTCTTCTATTGATTTTTCTGTCATTTTTGCTTCCATGATTTTGTGAGCAGCGCTCGAGATGCAAAGACGTCAGGAGCGAAAAGCAAAAAAACATCACCAAGCTAACTAACATTTGAGTGGTTTCCCTAGTCTCATTGGCTGGATCGATAAAATAAACCACAATGCACTTTAAAGTTATCATAATTTTTGTTTTCTTTACTGATGTGTGTTATGAAATTATGTATGAGTCAATCCCAAAGGTGCCCATTCCCCCCCCTCCGGGCATACCCCCCTTGGATCGTGCTTAGAGGACTCTGGTTCGTCTGTGAATTAAAAAAAAACACAAATACCTTTGTTTAAAATCTGGGATGGCACAAAAGAAGTTAGACAAGCTTTTTTTGGCGGATCCCTTTGCGCAGCCTTTTACGATCGATTACGATCTCATTGAAATCGAATCACCTTTGTACAAAATTTGGTTTCAAAATATAATCTTTCCTTGAAGCTTCTTTGAAATGCATGGAAAGAAAAGCTTGGAATTAAAAAGAAAAAGAAGCAAAACTTTTCAATGTGGATGACAGTACAGAACGAGTAGATGAAGATAAGTTTTTGGAGTCCAAAAGAAGAAGTAATATTTCAAAGCGACAATAAGCAATTAGTTCCAGTCCCAGGCGTAGCCGAGGACTGGAAMTAATTGCGCGGACTTGAGATCCCGTCCAGTCCGATATTGGAGGCTTTGAAATGACTTCTCATCTCATTAATTATTCGACTTAGAGTAACTGGAACAAAATTAATTCAGTCCCATGTAGGACTGAATTGATTTTGTTCCAGTTACTCCAGACTGAATGCATTCCTTTCACA